TTGTTTTTTTCTGGATTTTTGGTTGATGTTCTGTCTCTCTCCATTAAAATGAAACTCCTATAAAAATTAGATAGTGTTCATTTCATTATAAGTGAGCAAACTAACAAACTCAGCGGGGGAATTATTTCCTCTGCTATACATGCAGATGCAGTAAAGAAAGACAACTTGAATGCATTACACAGAAACAGATCCTATGGTTGTGTTACTAAGGCGCACACAAAGTTGTATAGCACTGTGGGCGTATAGCTGGGAAAAACAAAAACTTGCATCCTTTGGTAGTGAAGCTTTGACAGCCTAAACAGCTGTTTTAGGTCCATTCTAGAAAAGCCAAAGAATTGAGCAGCAAAGCACAGCAAAGCACAGCAAAGCGTGCTAAGTTTATATTTAAAGGTGTTTATATCCACCTTCAGGATAATTGAAGCATAAACACTCTTGATTACAAATGTTTTCCAACTGTTATGAGTAGTTATAAAATTAACTGTGTTTGTTTTACATAAATGTATTTGATAGCTTAAAACAATAAATAGGATACCTGAAGTTATAAATTCACTGGCTTAGAGTTTGGATAGATGTTATATTGGTTTATTTAGAGTTATACATTATTAAAATAGTACACTATCTGTTCTTTATTGCTTTACTGGACACATTTTAAAATGTATTTACTAAATTAAATCTGACAGCAGAAGGAGATTGTTGTTGAATGCCAGCCTATTTGGGATCTTTAGAGAGTGCATTCTGAAATATGCTTCCCTCAAGATTTGCATTACCTCATTGTACATAAAGACCTATGTCCTTCCCTCCATCAGACATCCCCATGGGGATCTGAGAAACCAACATCTGAGTCACCAACCCACTTTCCTTTCTTTCTTTTTTTAAATTTCTTGTTCTATTTTCTCTCCGTCTCTTTGTGTCACTCTTTCTTTCTGCCCCTTTCCTCTCCATTCCTTCGCTCTTCTTTCTTCATCTGTTTGGGCAGACATCCAGGGCAGATCGTTGCTCTCAGGATTTCATTAAAACGATGTTGATGGAGCACTCTCTCCAGCCTAAGTAAATGTGCTCAAGTCCATTTCAGTGTGCATTGTTTGGAAATGGATTAGCGAAGTTGGAGGAGTAAAGGCAAGGAAAAGAGGGAATGGGGGAGAAATGAAAACACGGAGAGGGAGCTCTACATATTTGTCTTCCACACGAAGGAGAACGTTTATTTAGAATCTCTAAATAGCTTCTGTGAAGTGAAATAAGATGAGTGAAAAAGGCAAAACACTGGGCTTTTTTTTTTTTTTTTTAAATTCCGGTAAGCTTATCTGTGATTTTGCTGCATATTAGTGGTGACTGTTGATTGTGCTGTGACAGGTATATGTGTTCTAGATTTTACTCCATTCTGCATCACCATGTCAGTGACAGTCTACATGAAGCTGTCTGGCATGTTGGTGGTTCGTATCCTGAGCTGCTGCAAAGACATGACAGGTGTTTCATATCCTACTATCTACACACACACCCACACACTGATATTGCTGAGCCAGGGGACCATAACAGACACCAATAAGTACACACATTACCTGACCACCAAATGTTTATCCTTTATCTTTAAGACCTAGCTGTCATGAGAACATGCTTGTCTCGCTATAACAGCCACGGCGCATCTCCTTTACAGATGCACTTCAAACACATCACTAGCTTGTCAAAGCTGGTCACAACCTGTCACAGGCAGCCACAACCAGGTGGAAACCAGTCACATTACTTTAATCTTACTCTGGTGACATACTGTATGGCAAAGTCTGTTCGAGGTATGCTGAAGGGAATCATGTGTGCAAAAATGGCTTGCTGCGTGAGCTACAATCGTTAAAATAGCCAAAAGGAGGGGAGGAAAAAAAACAAGAAAGGAAGCAAAAATTCTGATGTGATCAAATTTAGTAAACAGAAGAAAAAAACAATACGAGGGCGGGTGTGAAAATCAAAACAACAACAAAAACCAAAAGCAGCTTACTTATTTATTACAAGCTAGACTCAAACCTCCCAGGAATTCAGGCACTGAATGTCACCCAGTTTGTTTGTTTTTTTATTGTTGTTGTTGCGTTTTTTTATTATTACCGAGGGAGCATCACTTGGTATCGTCAAGGCCTAGACATTGTGCAGGTGCAAATCTTGCTGTGCATTTTGGCTCATCTACACATAGATTCTCAGTTAACTGTCCAAGATAATTGGAGTGTGTGAATTCTGCTTAAGGGGCAATATTTCACTTCAAGGCAAACAGAAAACAGCTTGTTCCTTTTTCAGTAGCCCACACAGTATTACAAACACCCAACCCCCCACGCACCCCAATGCTTCAAGGCTACGCAAAAGCATTTGTACTTTTGTGTTGACATTAGGTCTATTTTAATTCCCAACATCACTTCTGCTACCACTCTAACTCGTCTCCCTCGGTATTGATGCTTTTTCTACTGAAAAAAACAAATAAAAAAATAAATACACCAGTGCTTTTTATTATGTTTTTGCCTTCCTCCCTGTATGCATGGACTCCACAGCAATTCATGTTATTAAAGCTGGATTTTGGCAGTTATCATTGGCCCACAGCAGTAATTACTAAGGGTTTGCATAGCTGCCTCTGACTCACCCGCCTTGGAAATGTTATTACTAATGTCTGTCTCATTGGAGGCGCACAGGAAGCTTCTTGTGAAGCCTGTGTCTTTGCTCAGGCCATTCCAACGACACTGAGCTCATATCCCAACAGGGTCCTGGGGCATGAGACCAGATGTACAAAGCGAGGAAGGGAGTAAGCAAGTAATGACAAAGCGAGGACGTAATAGAAAGCTTTTTTTTTTTTGTGCTTGGAGCAGCTGTTTTATTTTTGTGTTATTCTGCATTTATTGCTCATCTCATATATGTTCGTCCAGACAAAATAATTGATGTGAAGCATTGGCCCCGACAGTGTGACAGATGAAAAAGGAGAAAATGAGTCATTTTATATTTTTGCAGGGGGCAATGCTTTGCCTGTATCAGTGTAGTTCGATTGCCCTAAGAGAAAAGAAAGAGCAAGAGAAAGTGCCCTTGGGTCTCAGTTTAGATGAAACGATTCAGATATGAACTAGTCTTGAGATATGAGAAAAGCACTGAAGTCAGTGGGGTTATATAGCTGTTATTCATCTATTGATCTCTTCCTCTCTTCCTTTCTTGCTTGTTCTCTCATTTTGTGCGTGTCACACACTCCCGCAACCACACACTGCAGCATTGTCTACTTTCTTCAGTGCTTTTTCTTCACCGGCTGATGCTCTCAGTCAGAGCGTTGTCTCTGCATCTAGCACCACTCAAGGTCAGATATTAAACCTCTTTTCGGGGTCAGCAACGTCTCCAAGGTCAAAGAGGTGCTCGCTAATGAGGTCAGCCTCTCCACCTCTTGCAGCGCCATGTGACAGTGTTCTGTAATCCAAAATTAAACACAGACATTTATGCATGAATAAGCCTGTTTAGCATTAGTATTGTTCAACATTTCATGTGAGCCAGCATTATGAAAACACCCCAAATCACCATTTTTTTCGGTGTCTTATTCATTTCCCTTTTTTTTTTCTGCCTCCACCCGCCTCTCCCTGTGGTTCTTCTCTTCTCCTGTCGTTCCTAGAAAGTCAGCAGGGAACAGGGTGGTCTGTGTAGGTTTCTCCTGGGTTTGTTTCCAACAGCAGCTTATCTGCAAATGCTCAGGTTCAGCTAATTGGCATTATTAAACTGGTGGCAAGCTCAACTCAGCTATAAGGGAAGGTCCAGTGGGAGGTGTGTGTGTGTGTGTGTGTGTGTGTGTGTGTGTGTGTGTGTGTGTGTGTGTGTGTGTGTGTGTGTGTGTGTGTGTGTGTGTGTGTGTGTGTGGCACAATCCTCTCTGTGCCTGTGCATATGTTATCCCACTGCGCCTGTATGTGTGAATGTGTGCACGTGTGTGTGATGGGAAACAAGCAGCTGTCAATTTCAATCAACAGGATGCATGGTTTGCCTGGGGGCTCACGTAGCCCAATTACAGGCAGAGGTGTTCGGTGTATGCACAGAAAACCGGTCCTATCTTCTTTTATTAAAACTGGAGTATGAGAAAGGATATACTAAATGCAAAGTTGGTTGATGAGTGTTGGATGCTGCTGATACTGAGGCAGAATCCTCCCTGTTTTTTTTGGCTGCACTTGCTGGATGAGAGAATAAAGAGTTAAAGCGATGGACTAGAACAGCTGAGAGTACTGATGTGGGTTTCAGGAAAGGGGCTGACTTCAACATACTAAAGCTGAAAAGAATATTGTTTTGTAAGAGAGCAATCTCAGCCATAGACAGTATACAGGATGGATGTAGCTACTGTGACATCACTGTTTTTATGCCTCAAGATGAGCACTTTTTGCGTCACTGTCTTGACATGTTTAAACTGGATCTGATGGCGAGTGGCAGATCAGATTGTGAAACCACACGTTCGCTGGCTACTGACCTGTCAATCACAAGTCTGTAGCCAATGAGCATTTACTGGATAATCCTCTTTTCTCAGCTTCGAATTGACCAAAATTTACTAAATAGACTTAATGTTTTATATAGTATGACCTGAAATATGCCTACATAGTGCTTTTCTACTCTGACTGAGCGCTCAAAATGCTTTTCATTGTAAGCCTCATTCATCCAAGAGCTTTTTTTCTATATCCAAGCACCTTATCTAATATTTGCGCACACACATGGTTGCATCCATCAGGGGATACTCAGGGTTCAGAATCAAAGGAACCTTTGATGTGCAGACTGCCGGGGATCGAACCACTGATCTTCTGATTCAGACAACTTCCTGAACCACACCCACCACGGACAAGTCAAATCACATCAGAAAGCCATTTTCTCATAGACTTTTAGAGGAACAGAAGTCTATTTGCAACAACGCGTATTACCCCTGTTGGCCTTTTAAAAGAATGGAGGTTTAAAGCTACGCCCATTTTTTTGTAATATGTGTAATCTAAACTTAGAAATTCAACTCTTTTTTTATTATTCTTTTAGGGTGGGAAGATCCCAGTGAGGTGGACAGCACCAGAGGCCATCGCTTACCGAAAATTTACCTCGGCCAGTGACGTGTGGAGTTACGGCATCGTCATGTGGGAGGTGATGTCATTTGGAGAGAGGCCTTACTGGGACATGTCCAACCAGGATGTAAGTGGTTAAAACTACACAAATACTTTCTTAAATATTATGATTGCATTTTGAAAAAGCATGTCTGGGCAGGATATTACACTGTAAATGGAGTTCAAGTCAGTTGGGACGAGCAGGTGTAGTACAACACAAAGTCAGTTAAGTACTAATTAAACATAAAATCAGCACTAAAGATTTTAAGTGCTCATTTCATGAGATGTTCCCAAAAACTCAACATCTAAGTTAAGTTTTATCATGTCTCCGAGTTCCGATAGAACAAAGAATAAACCTGAATCTGAATAAACAGCCTCATTAAATTGAACAGCCATTTCCGTACAGATGCAGTTATAGATACACAATCAAGGGTAACTCATAAGGGAGGAAGCTGTAATAAATCACACATTTTTATCAGCCTGCATCACAAAGCATCATTACTGAAGATGCCCTTGACTCTGACTTTGAAAGCAGACTTATTATGGGCACAGCCTCACACTATCCCCTTTCCTTCCTGGCCAGCTTTTGAGCGCAATGAATGATTGCTGAGAGCTCTGCTTTGTTCCCCATGTCCGCTTGGATAACGTCCACGCTCACAGGCACCAACACAAACACACGCAACCATTGGATATAGTCCCATACTATGAGGTCTCTCTCCCTTAGCTCCCTTAGTGCGACAACTAGCCAACCATCAGGCTTCTATGGACCTCGCTCCACAAGGACCGTCCAAACCAGCAGATGTTGCCTCAGTGGGCCAGCAGCAAACACTGCCTGGTGGGACTAGCACCACTCAGCATGTCCGGCTGCTCAGTCCACACTCTCTTACACACTTAAAACACACTCTCACAAAAATTTTCGCACGCACGCACACACTTTCTTTCTCTATCCTGCATCCTCTCACTTATCCACACAAACACCATAACCTCTGTTTCTCCTCTTCTCTTGAAATCCCCTTTGCTTAATATTGCATCAAAGCCCCTCTCTATACCCCCTCCTAACTCATATCCCCTCACTTGTGCGTTCTCTTCTCTAATGCACCATTTGTCAAGAATCTGCTGAGGTGCACTCAACTCCAGGGTGGAGCTGGCGATATACAGAGCAGCACCTAACTTTTAATGACTATCTTTTACACACGATCTTTCATCAGACTTTCATCTTGCAAGTAAGCAAAAAAAAAAGAAAAAAAGATTAAATCTACAGACAGTGTGGATAATGTGGATATTTGTGAGCACCGGTTCCATCAATTTGCAGCAATCTTGGTAATCATTAGTCTTTGCAGCGTCTGCTTTTGTAGCTACTGAATCAACATTGCATATTTCCTTTAAATATATCTAAAGTGATCTCATTGTCTATATGTTATTTAACATAAAACCTTTTATAACTAACAAAGAAAACAAAACAAGGTGAAGATACTCCACTTCTGTCAAGTTCTGATCAAACTTATATAATAGAAGTCTTTTACTCTAACTGCCCTTAAATTCTTTGTCATAACGTCTTTTTAATGAGTCCTGATAGCTTGTGAAGCTTTTAAAAGTCATGTGTCAAGTGGCTATACTTCACAGTGTTAATTATATGCAATCTGCCCATCCCCCCCAGGGGCTCCTTTCTAGTGACACTGCCCCTGCTCTCTGTCCTCTCTCTTTCCTCAATCTGTCCTATAGGAGTGATATGTGATTGGATAGAGTCAAGAGGAAGGGCACATCATCCTGAATGCAAACTGTCACTTTATTGACCAGAGGGAGTGTCCATATGGGGAGGGTTGCAGTTGTGTTCTTGTTGCATTGTGATGAGGCAGGATTGAGTTTCAGCCATAAAATAAGTCAAATTATTAAAAAAATGTAACCAGCTTGTAGAAAACACTCTTACTGACAGTAAGTGTTTGAGAGACATACTGCAAGTGCGGTATATGGTGTGGAATTAGCAGCTATCTTCATTTGTAAGAGACAACATCTTGCTTTCTCTCTCATAGGTAATTAATGCTATTGAGCAGGACTACCGTTTGCCACCACCCATGGACTGCCCCAGCGCCTTGCACCAGCTGATGCTGGACTGTTGGCAAAAAGACCGCAACGTGCGACCCCGCTTCACAGACATCGTCAGTACTCTGGATAAGATGATCCGTAACCCCGCCAGCCTCAAAGCTGTAGCCAATATTCCTGCAGTGTGAGTAAAAAAAAATCTGTACACGTAAGAAACAAATTGATCCAAAAACTGACATTAAGTACACACTGACGCTTCTCCTTATGCATGTAGTCTTTAACACACTGTTTGTTTCGAATGAGCCCAGCATGCATATGTGCACCGTTTTATCTTCTCATGAATTAAGCAGGAATTTATTGCTATTGATTGCGTCAAACTGCACTTTTCCTCCTTCTTATCCAACCTAAACACTGGTTTCGGGAACTCTCACTTTTTTACCCCGTGAAGATGGAGCAAAACACGTTTTCAAAAAGATAAAAAATGGAATGAAACACCTCATTTACATATATTTTCAGAACACATTCAGAGCACGTTTTTTTTTTCCTTACTTTTTTGTGAAATACTGGACTTGTTTTGTACAATCTCTGGCACCCGTCCTCACAGTTTCTCTCAGCGTCAGCCAGATTGGATGTGGTCTGTCTGTCCGTGAACTGTGAGTTTCAGGTTCCTGCACTACTTTTTTTCCAGGCTTCCACATATTTTAAAGCCAAGCAATTGCGACCAGTTACCGATTACCTGCAGAAAATCTTTCTTGTGTGGCATTCAAAGAAGGAGTGGCAGATGTGCCTCATGATACTGAATCCCTTTACACTTTATATTTGAGATACATTCCAATATTCACTAATAAATTCTCTCTCCCTAGTTTCCTTGCACCCTATGGCACACACCCATGAAAACACCAGTATCAGCTTTACTCTCCTTCTCTTTAAGTCTGTGCTTAATATTGCATCAAAGCCCAACTATATCTCATCTTCCTCCCCGCCTTGCTCTTGGTGTTCTCCTCTGCACCAGGCCCTCTCAGCCACTGCTGGACAGATCCATACCCGACGTCAACACCTTCAGCTCAGTCGAGGACTGGCTCGCTGCCATCAAGATGAGCCAGTACAGAGACAACTTCCTCAACTCAGGCTTTACCTCCCTGCAGCTGGTGGCACAAATGACCTCAGAGTGAGTTCAACTGCTTGTGTGCAAATGACGGGTTTTCAGACCCATATAGCTTTTGATGGGCACACTTTTATAAAATGACTCAGTGTCAAGTGCATGTATTTTTAGCATAAATGCACCCAGTGACTCAAGTGATTGCATCAAAGTTAAAGCCTCGGTGGGAATTAAAAATACAACACATTGTAAGATGAAATAACGCACTCACCGTGGTAAGAAAATGTACATCTTTGCAAGCTATGTATTACAACTCTTATCTGTACTAATAATTAAACATTTGTGTTGACAGTGTTCTAAAAAAAAAAGACATGAATGTGTATCCTCTATATACACATTTTAAAGATGCATATTTTCACTTCTGCTGCCGCTGCTGTGTCTGTGAAGTGCTTCAAAGCGCTGGTCATGACAGCATTTCTCAAAGCACTTGTGGTACCAACAGACACAAATATTGCACTTCATCCATTTTAATTAACAATGCTGCTTGGCCTACAAAATTATGTTGAAAATGTAAATTCATTCCAACATTTTTTATTAAAAATATATGCTCGGGGCCTGGTAGCATTTCTGCAATGTCTTTGCAATTCAAAGCAACACGCACTACTGCGTCTTCTCACAGAGATGGAATTAATTTAGTAAATTTGTGGGTTTTGTTCATTGCTACTAGCTTTCCATTCTGAAATTGTGCGTTCATTTGTAGCGACGTTAAGTCCGTGTGAGCTCGTTGAGTTGTGATGGGGGATTTCTTGCAGGTGTTTGCACTTCATATTCAGATCATCTATTCTAACTCCAAATTATTGGAGATCCTGTGTTTTTCTACAAAAAAAAGGGAAAGAAACAAAAATACCCTGCTTTTCACTTTCTGTCTCCATGTTTCTTTCTCTGTAGAGACTTGCTGAGAATAGGAGTGACCCTGGCAGGCCACCAGAAGAAAATCCTTACTAATATCCAGTCCATGAGGGTGCAGATGAGCCAGTCATCTACGCCGATGGCATGACTACCGGAGGCGCTGTGCCATGGAACAGGCAGCATTCGAAGGACCAACAAAAATAGCAGCCCTCGAATGACCCCCGATCCATCGGAACGCGCCAGAGTCGAAACTATTGTCTTAATCTAATCCACTATCATGACAACAGGAGACCAGGGTCTACACTACCACATGGTTAACAGCTGTCACACTTCATGCAATCCACGACAGGAGTTCAGGGTCCAGACTTGATACTGTTTATCCATTCATCACAAAAGGGAAATCAATGTCCGTTGTTGTGGTTATGAACTACCATTCATGCCATTTTGAACCAAAATAACCAACAATCAGACATCAACACAAAGAACTTCTCAGAGTTTCAAACTGTGGTAAAGTGAGTGATACTGTACTTCTGCTTCATGTGGACTAGAAGGTGTTAAAACTTTAAACTGAAACGTGAGGCATTTAGAAACATGTGACGTGTGATTTTACCCATCCTGTCTTCAGTCTGTGCAATGAAGATGCCTTGACCTGGCGGGAAATAAGTTCCAGAAGAAGAAGAAAAAAAGAAGAAAAACAAAACAAACACCTACCAGTGGAAATAATTAGAGGGAGAAGCATACAGGGATGTACAGCAGAGCACCATTTCAACTTTCACATCATGTTGTACTTGTTTAAAAAATGTTTTAAAAAGTGTATTGTAAATGGACAGGTAACAAAAAAACAAAAACAAAAAAAGATCAGAGCTTAGTTATATTTTTATCCTTTACCATGTGTTTGTTTGTCTGTTTTATCATTATAGCAAGATGCAGTCCACTTGTATTTTATCTTTAACACTACCTGTGGAGTCTTGGGTGGAGGGCCTTGCTAAAGGACTTCTTAACCCAAGCCACCCACTTTCAGAGAATATAAATATGTTTATCTCTTGCTAAATATGATTATATCTTTCATAATAAACCTTCATATTGAAGGTGATATAAATGCATATGTATGTACAGAACTCTATGCTTGCATTTTGGCAAAGACATGTTGACTGAATTCTGACTGAGACACATGCAATGTTTAGATTCCAGTTTCCTTTGGATAACTGAACAATGGGCACTGGATTGTATGTCTCGTTGCTCCAGGGATTTAAGGACAATTTGGGCTGACTGGAGAAAATGTAAAAAGAATGGCTGAAGAATTGGTATTGTAGAATTGTATGAAAATTGCTGTAGGAGTTAAATAACTGACAAACTATCCATTAACTGGGGGTAATGTTAAATGTGGGTGTACACATGCTGTCTCTTGCTGGTGAGCACTTAGTTGTACAGATATGTTTTATGTTTCATCTTCTTTCTTGACCTGTTGTTTGCCTCGGGAGCGGTCAGCACCATCCACAGGGGGAATGATCCTCCGTTTCCTGCCCCGGAACTGGCCCAAATTCACGGTGAGTGCCAGCTGATCGCGCAGGAAGAACACAACTTGGAGTCGAGTTGCTCTATATGTGGCACATTTTATTTCGGGAAAATCTAGTTAATGTTTCTCGTGGGCGCTGCAAATGTCTAGGCCGTGGTGAGATTTTCTGCGAGTTTGAAACGCATAGGAGAGCGGGCACTGGAAATCACTGCGAATCAGCATCATTTCTCTACACGGTGAAAAATGAACATCTGGGCTGAAGTTTGCCAACAGACACCCGATGCCATTTCGAGGAACACACAGACTTAAACAGCCCACATGGGCACACTGCTCACAGCATAGCACAGCTCCAATCGACTGCTGTAGCTAAGCTGCTGAGTTCATCTGTGCACTCATGCTATATGCAGTTGCCAAATGGCTAGGCAAGTTAAAGGAAATTGCCACGGTACTTGTGGGAATATTTCTCTAACTCTTGGCTGCATGAATTGTCACTTAGAAATGTACTAATCTTGTAAGGTCTCTACATTATTCCCAAAGTCATTATTTTGGGATATATTTAAGGATTGTTCCGAGTTGTGCACAAGGATGATTCTCTTTTAGCATGGCAATGATGATGCTTGTGATTTTGCTGTTAGTCTTATTTTTCCTTTTGCTGGTCATTTGCTTCAGGGCTAGGCTTTTGGAAACGAATTGCAATATTGTTGTTCAAATAAAACCTTTAAAAATGGTGATCATTAAAAATGAGAGTCAACAATCTTTCAGTACAGGCTTGGTAGAACAGCCCTGTAGCTCGCAATTATGGACTATTTTGGTATCAATTCTTTGCAGTAGCTGTGACCCTGCTGAAATCCCTGTTGGCTCTATTTGAACAGACATGAGTGACGACGGTCCTACCACCTTGCATCCAAAATTAGAAATTGATGGCAGGCCATTAGCAGATTATTAAGTGTACTTAGCCCTCTCAAGTCATCCTCCTCCTCCTCCTCTGTCTGTCCTGCCCTCTCTCCCCGACTACTCCCGCTGGCTGGCAGATCTCCAGCTCGTTTATCCTGGGTGTAACCAAGCTGTCCTGGGCTGTGTCTGGAGCTGAGTTGGGCCAGAGCTGGCCTGAGAAATGGTTGGTCCATGCTCTAGTGGGCCCAGGCAGGGGTGAAACACCTGCTAAGGCCCCTGGTTGACGGGCATCTGATCAGCCACGGGAGGGAGATTGATGGAGCATAAAAAAACAAATACACTCACAAACATGCACGCACACACACAAACACTGAGGAACCCTCAGCTAGTTTATTCTCACGTCTGGTTTCCAGGCTGATGCTTAATGAGAAGAAAGTGGGCTGAAACCCGACAGAGTGTGTGCATATGCGATAGAAAGAGGGGATGATTCAGTTAATAGGAGGGCGGGTTGCATGGCAGACATGGCATGAACAAAGGATGTTTTGATGAAAGTAAGAAAGTTAGTTCATTGAAGTGAATCAACTCTTTTATCTCACAGTGTGGTTTATGTGGCAACATCTCTTTCATTATATAAATGTTAATTTGCTTTAGTTTGGTAATGGAAAATACTGTAATCAAGCAATTGGTTTGGCTCACGGGCAAATCAATTGCTTTTTCTATTCAATTCTCCGAGTCATTGATTTACCAAGTATTCCTAAATATAATCACAAGCTCCTCAGATTGGCATAAATCCCTTTCACTGAAGCCAGTGAATCAATTTGAATGCATTAGTCCTCTATTCAGCTCAGTCTCATGTATTTGCTTTTCAACCCAAGAGCCTGTGAATGAGATGATAGAACGTATTCATTATACAAAAGTGTAATTCTTTTTTTTTTTTTTCTCCATTTGCTCTGTTTGTCTTTCTAAATATCTGACTGTAATGACACTCCAGTGTGATGAATGGAGAGGCGGTTCGCCATCTTCCTCTGAAAGCTGTTTCATATGGGAGCCATTCATCACACACTGATAGAAAACACAAGAACTTGCTTGTTAAACGTTCCATGTGCTTGCAACTGTCTGAAAGTGACCACGATGCTTTTAGCAGCAAAATCATGCCTGTCATTTATGGATCAGAACGGCGTGAGGCCGAAATGATTTGGCGTGACTCCTTGCAAAACGAAACTCGTTAAACTTCTCCGTTCTCCTTTTTCTCCTCTGTTTCAGACTGGGAACTCAAAGATTTACACACTTATAAAACGGCATACACCCGGCACTTCACAATTATATTCTCATGGGATGCGCACAGTGAACACCAAGAAGAATCGCAGCGGGCCAGTGAGAACAGGTGAAGCCAAAGCTTTGAGTATGCCAGTCACAACCTCTCTCTGTGTGATGAGCAGTGGATGGGGGAGCTGACTGTGAGTGTGCACATGTCACAGTTTATTTGTTTGTGTGTTCAAGAGAGAATGGATGTATGCATATCAGCACTTTGTGTGTACAGACATTGTGTGCACAGGTACATTGGTTTCCTTTTTCTTTCTTTTTTTTTAGTTTGTGTATAGCAGCCACTTGTAAATTGTGACAGTATGTGTCAAGAGTTTGTAAGCTGTAACTTTCTGAGAACTATTGTACTAAAATGCACTCATAAACGCCTTGGAAAACAAGTCAATCACATCAGAGTCTGTGATCACTGGACGATAATTCTGCTTTCATAATAGTGAGTCAAGAAAGGAGAGAGGAAGGTTATTATCCAGTATCCCTATCCTTGTCAGCACTGTGCTGAGTGTGGTGTGACGTCTAATGCTGGCTTCTAATGGCTAAGGAAATAAACAGCTTTTGTCACCACAGTCTGGCTGGCAGCACATGTTAAAGCCATCAGCCACTAATAAACGAGCAGTCACTCGCATTACATGCAACACAAAAATGTCTCTCCAAAAAAAATAAAATAAAAAGTGACATTATTATGACAAACTAGTGGAAATTATCCTCCCATCTGAAATCTTATATAGTATTTGTTTCTCACCACATGAATAAAAACCCCACCAGCAGTTTCACTACTCTCATATTCCTAGTTGCCACAGACACTTCTAGGCACTTCACACGCCGGAAGCATGCTACACAGTAATGATATGGTTAATGAGGTGAGTCAAAGATATAGGGATGTATCCAACTCACAGCATTGCTCCATAACTGTTTATTGACTCTAATTGATTGATAACATCCAGATTCATATTAGCAGAGAGACTGCTGTGCAGGGGCTGTGCCAAAAAAAAGAGAGAAGCAACAAATGAAACAGTCAGTTTTCTCACTTCTCAAATTTGTCATATTAAATAAAAGTGTTTCAGTCGTCACTTTTTATTTATTTTTATTGAAGTGTATGAAGGATGAAACAGAATAGGTGGTTGAAGTTGTTTTGTAAGGAATTGGATAATTAAAAATGTGGACGTATTTACAACCTAAGTCCAAAAAAGTTGGAAAAAGCCGTGTAAACTTGAAAAATGTATTAAATGTTTTAACAGAGAAAATGTACCATTTCACAAAAGGCTGGAAAAGTAAGTGGTGGTAAAAAAAAAAAAAAAAAAAGCTAGAGGGAAGTTTTGCTTAGCTAGTAGCAGTCAGTAACATGAGTGGGGATAAAAGAGGCTCTTGGGAGGCAGTTTCGCAGAAGCAAAGATGAGCAGTTCATCAGTCTGCATGTTCTTCAATGTAAAATTGTGATACACAGTGCATAATATCATCAAATGTTTCTGGGATTCGAGTAATCACTGTGCACAAGCGACAAATGAAAAGTCTGTATCGGGTGCCCATGATCTTCGGCCCTCAGGCCGATAAACAGGCTCTGATTCTGGATAGAATCACTGCACTTTCCAGGAACACTACCAGAATCACAGTCTGTACACACTTCACAGTGCCATCCAAAATGCAGGTTAACGCTATATCCAGAACACTGCCGCCTTATTGAGCCAAAGCTCATTTAAACTGAGCTAAAGGAAGAAAGAGGAGAGGGACTTAGAATTATCCAGTGCTCAGTTCAAGCCCACATCTCTGATAGCATGAGGATGCTTAAACTGCAGTCCAGACTTTTCACCAACTAAAAACATTTGATGGACCATAAAATGAAAGATGTAATAAAGTAGAGCAGGACTGTTGAGTGCTAAGATTCCTAGAACAGGAAAGAATGGGAAACATTCCACTCCCAGCTGGTCTCCTCTGTCCCAGACATTTAATGCCTGTAGTTAAAAGAATAG